CTTTTCATTTTCGTCTTTGGTTGGCGTTAATAGTTCTTTCATCAGCCCTTGTAATTTATCTTGTTCACGCTCAATTCACGGAGATGAATGTCGAGATGAAGAAGTAGAATTAACTTGCATCACGTTAGTCATACCTTTTTCAGCTGTGCTGATTTCGCCATTTTGGTTATCACCGATAATTTCACTTGCTATAGGACTTGTCTCACGTTCCTCTGTAATAACTTGCTTTGTTTTTTCTGAAGATTCGTCTACAATCAATCTTAGTTTTATCATTTTCTCCAACCCCCCATCATCGTCGTCATCATTATCTACAGTATCGGAACTTTGCTGAGATGCTTTTTCTCGAAGTCAATAAGGAACGAATCTTGGGTATTATCTGATACTTGTCGGATGCAAGAGTGCCTTCCTCTCTAATAACTTCGATGATTGTAGAGCAGATAGGATAGCTAGGGTATATAGGGACCTGCGTATCTTTACAAATGATATGTTACTCGATATATGTTCTATGGAATATGTGTTCACAAGATAATATGACAAATGCGCGTAGTGGGAATGCTAAAATTTCTTTCCTACATTTATGGCAAGGACTAAGTTTTGGAACTTCCTCTTCGTTGAATATTTCAGAGATATTCTGCAAAAAATTTAATGAAAGTGCTTTTAGTTGGGAAATGTTAGCAGTGTCGATACGTTCCTCTGATGAACTTGGCAAAGTTTCGCTAGACATATCACAAAAATTTTTTAGCACCTTATTTATTTATACACTTCACAAAAATATACCTCATCCACTTCCATATCTCTCGAAAAAAAATATCCCAACTCGAAATAGATTACATCCGAAACGGTGCAAAGATATTATTATAGCAGAATCATTATAGAAAGGTGAGTTTCATGATTGGTAAAAAATATTAAATTAATCAAAAAATACCCAATAGGTGTATATGTGAAAAATTAGGTCGCACAAAAACATATGGATCTAACCTGCTAAGTGCTTATTCCTCTGCATTCAAACATATGCTCATGTCACATAGTGGTGCCTATAGGCTTGATCTGCAGGACCCAAGGAACAACCCTAAAGGGATATAAAAAATTGGATTATCGTGATAGCGATTTATTATACGATCAATTTATGTGTCGAGGCTACTTTACGTACCTTTGTACAATTATATACCTTGTTCTTATTTCGCTTCTTTTTAGGTTTAGAATGGATAGAGTCAAAGTCTTTAGACTCATGTATCTTTTTTACTGAAACAATATTGGGTAAAATATCAGAACAATTTAAGGAAGCAAAGCTTCGAGATTCCATCTCATCTGATGTATCGCTATTATCGGTCTCAAATTCTGGTAATTCACACTTACATTTTGCCTTTCTATCTCTTAACTCAGACTCGACTGCTTTTAATCTCAAATAAATAAGATTTATATATAATCCTATTACATCGATCATAATGGGGGTATCTTTATGTAGTTTAGTATTAGTTGATCGCTTTTTGTTACGTTCTATTTTTGAATGATATATATAGTCAAAAAAATTAAATATGACAGATGCGTAGGCCGACTTGCTTTACTACATTAGGTAAATATAATTTATTAAACAAAAAATTAGTCACATGTCATCGCTCCCTTGAGGCTTATTATATCACCTATCCAGTTCAGCCTATTGGTAATATCGATCTTTGGCTTGCTTCATAAATGATCCATCGGGTTAATAAAGCCACTTAATTACTGCGTTTTGAACGATTTTAGCTAAATCTATTCGTCTTCGATGTCATGAATGAAATATCCGCTGAATAGTTAATACTGCTTGTTTTCTGGAACACGGATAACAATATTGATGATATCTTAATTGAGTATCAACTGAAAATCTATACGCACGTCGGCATTTAATACATCGTCTGTACAGATTTTTTGGAGATATATATTTTCTTAACACATTATGATCCTTTAGGAATTGTTCAAGGAAATTTTGGCTATAGTCTGTCATTATATTGTATATATCAAACATGTGGATTTTTTTTTTAACTTAGACTTTTTATTTAATAGATAATCAGGCCCAAAGGGCACCTCTACGAGGCATGGAGCTAACTGAAAAAATAAATATGGCAGACGGGTAGGTCAACTCGCTTTCCTTACATTTGGTAAATAAAAAATCTAAAATGAAATTAATAGAATTATTAAAAGTACTTAATGTATCAATTAACAGAATTGCCGAGATAGTTTTTGAACGATTTCACTTATAATATCCGGAAGTGTAAGTGGGTTGAATATATGCATATTATATTTATCTGAAAAAATTATCAATAGATTATGAGTATTCAACATGCGTTATCACTACCTGAAATTCTAGAAAATATATTTAGCCATCTTTCCGATAATGAGGAGGATTTAATCAAACTTCTTGCAGTCAATCATACCTGGTGTTCGGAAGGAGTTCGATCTCTCCTGAAGCGGTATAGGGATATGTTTTATCGGTATAATAATGATTTTGCTCTCATTCTATTAATAAGCCAATTCAAAGGTCTTGAGTGTTGCAATGCATATAAACCTATTCACAAAAAAATATATTGGCCTACTGAAGATGAATATGAATATACACATAACTTGGATGAAAAAGATAAGCTTGAAAATATTTCCTTTGAAATCGAAGACATTATTGGATATCTTGAGATAATAAAGGATCATATACCATCTATGTTATATGACGAGTTTCACAAAAATATCAATAACCATACAAATAATTATAAGTCCTTAGAAGATAAAATTCAATGTTTGTTATATAACTTCTATCAATAATTTATTCTTCCAGAATTTTTATTACGCTTTTATATCATGTATAAGAAAAACTTCGAAACATATGGTCTATTCTATGTTGCCATTAATTAGTGATAAGGCCTTTGTTATATCTCCTATTTCCCACTTAATCTCTAATGCTTTATCGATAAGATCATCTATTTCTTCTTCCAATAAACGGAATTTTTTCTCAAGTTTATCAAGCTTTTCATATATCATTTTAGTATTGGTATAATATGATTTTTTTATTGGGGAGCAGTCCTGTAGACGATTCTCCGAATCATGGCTCTTCGAGCCTACTTTAGTTGATGTCATTTTTTGTAATATATATTATTTAGATAAAAAAAATATAAATAAATATACGGAAAGAAATATCACAACTTAGGCAAGTAAGTTGATCTATTATTGATATTGAGGTTTTAACTCTAGCTTCATCATTCTTTTTTCAGCTTCTTCATGGGACATTCCTTTATCAATCATTTTCTTATACGCAATAATACGCCAATCCCCAAAAGCTAATGTAGTAATTCCATCGGATAAGATCTACCTCTTAGTATCTAGAGGGCTAATACCAATTTTTGATGAACGAAGAAGTCTGATAATATGATCTTTACTTCCCAATCGATGCATTGTTATCATAGTCTCTTTTCGAGATTTTAAACAATCTTCATACATATCATGAGTAAGGTTCTTTCTGACTACTACTTTTTGTACTCCTTTAGCTCTTCGATCAGTTTTTCCATCCACAAGAATATAACTATAGAGCTTAGGTCTTGGTCCGCAAAATTTCCACATAGCAGTACCACTACTTTCATCTTTAAACTTACCTGGAACTTTCTTATTCAAAGCAATTTTCTCCTTTCCTAAAGCTTGGTATACGGGATGTTCTGGTT